GCTTCTAAACAACAAAAAAAATGTAGTCATTTTGTAAAAAACTAAGTTTGGATAACTGGTGACTAAATGTGCATCAGTCCTACGTCCGTCTGGAGCACTTGTAAAATGTGTTCTTACCTGAGAGAACATTAGAAATAGGAGAGAAAATGTTGAATGTGACAAAATTTTCCAAATAATTTGTACAAATCATTAAAGAATTAAATTGCTTCGCTTCTTGCATGAAACTCATTGTGCTTTTGGAACAGTTCAGTCTAAATCCTTCCAGCAGGTAACTGGACAGGAATTCGATCAACAGTTTGGAGGTAGTCTTCCATTCTTAATCAGTTTTCTTTGCATAAACTTTGTTAAGCTGTTTTCAGTATAATAAAAAAAAACTTCAGGTTACATATTCTCTTATGATTGTAATCTTGTGCTTGCAGCTGTGATGGTTGGATATTGTTGCAGCTCTAATAGAGTGGCAGCTTGAGTTAGGGTCTCAAATTGTGTTCTTCAGCCACTGTGTGGGCCCCATTTATGTGCTAAAATTAAGACTCAGGTTTCCTTCCAAAAAAAATAAATATTTCTAGTTTTTAATTTAGAAAAAATCAAATTGTAAACATTTCTGTCTCAACATTTTCAAAATTGCTGAAGGAATATATTTATAAAACACAAGATAGTTCTGCATATTCCCCCCCATCATTGAAATGGAAATTTGAAATTGAAATTTATTCGAACATGATACAAATATAAAAATAAAATAGTGCACAGTAACAAGAAGTGCATAAAAAAGAAGAGAAAAAAAAATACAGATATTTTTTTCAATTAACATATCATGACTTGAAAGACGCTGAATGTTAATAACTTTTTCGCAAAGTAAAAAAACATTAATTTTTGGAGTAATGTGCATTAATAGGATGAAGTGTGGAAAAGTACGAGTTGATTTTTTTTTTTGGGTAGTTTCTAATGTAGGTCTGAACTCTTAAAAATGAAAAGAATTTCCTCCATTTTATTTCAGCAAATGTTTCTCAGATCAAAATGTTAAAGACAAAAGAAAAATCATAAACTTTTTTTTCCCCCCAGTCATCGCATCCCTAAAGAGCAGTGGTGGCTGAAGCTCCGTCCTCTGATGAAAATCCTGGCCAAGTACAAGACGAGTTATGACGTGTCCGACGCCGGCCAGCTGGAACACGTGACCCGGGTGCGTCCCAAAGAGAAGGAGACCCCGGCTGCAATCTGAACCGCTACCGGAGGAAAGCTTTACTCTCACAGGAAACCGGCTTCACATTTCAGTGGCAGCTGCTCACACATTGATTGATTGACTGCAAATCCATTAGGAAAGATTTAAAAGGATAGAGATTAAATTTAATAAAGGATTTATTGTACGAGTACGGCACTTTGCAGAAGGAATATTCTATTTTTTAGATTAAAGAGGGTCACTTGAGAAGAGCTTTATTTATTTTACGCAATATAACATTGTGTTTAGATATTCAAAGTTATTATATAATATATGCACTACTCAAATGTACTGTATTTAGGTTTTAGTGCCCAAAATGTAGCCATGTCTACCGTAATTATTTCCCGAGACGTCTATCATTTGTAAACACATCTCAGCTGAGGATGAAAATCTGTAATTAAATTCGGCTTTTTTTGTTTTTCATATCTACATCCGCACTTTGAGCTGCATAGCTAATGTTATCACCCTAAAGCTGCTTTAAAAAGGGAATCAATGTCTGGGGGATCATGCGCACCCTCCAAGAATGTGTCCACGCGCTGGCTCTAAAACACTGTAACCCAGATGGCTTGAGTGAGCAGGTCAAACGCTACCTGTACATGTATTTCGTGTTGTTGCCTTATCTACTTGTATCCATCCTGGGCTTTCTGTGTGCACCTTATAGTGATTATTTATGACAGGCTCCTGCTGTAGCAAAGCGATGTATCTGGAGAACGTGTGGAAAAGCACAGTGAGTGTTAACTTGATGTGTGTCCTGTTAAAGAGTTAATAAAGCATTTGTGTGAAAATGCTGAATGTTGTGATAATTCAGTAATTAATGGAAACATTATACCAAGATGCATTTAAAGAGTAGATTTTGTTAAAATCTTATTACATAACTATTCAATAATAAAAAAGATACCAAAGATCATTTTAGTTACTCAGATAAAAACTTTTAACTTATTCATAATGTAGTGATATATATATGCTCACATTTATTTCTGCAAACGAAAACATAAAATTGATTGAAATTATTAGGTTGTCAGCTCTATGAAATTATATTCTTGTATTCTACAACACATGCACTGTTATTTGTTGAGGCTCCTTTTGCATGACATACTTCATCAGTGCAGCTTGGCTTGGAGGTGATGAGGATGTGCGGGTTGTTTGGTGCATTTGTTCTTACATTTCTGAATACTCTGGTGTAAATGCCAGGAATGACTAAAGCTCAGCATCCCTCTCTAGCTCCAACGGCCACATCCTGCCCTCCTCTTCCATTGATCCTCCTGTTTCTATGAGTTTGTTATCAGCCAAATCAGAAGATGGTGCTGCTCCCTCCAAATTTCACATCCATCTCTAGAAGTCAAGTAAAGAGGCAATTGGAGAGACTGAATCATAATAAGTCATCAGCTCCAGAGTCCTGAAGGTCTGTGCAGAGCAGCTCTGCAGGATTCTACAGCACCTCTTCACCCTTAGTCTGCACCTGAAGGCAGTTCCAGTGAGCAGCGGTGGCTGAAGCTCCATCCTTCAGCAAACCCATTGTTTTTTAGACAAGGCAGACGGCACTGTAAGGTTCTTCTTTGATGTCTCCAATGCATTTATACAATTCAGTCTGCCTTACTTTGTGAGAAACTCCAGGACTCAGGTGGAGGCATCAACAATGGCCTGGGTCAAAGACTACCTCACAAACAGACCTCAGTTTGAAGGGTCAGCTGTCTAATCAATCAGTCAGGTGCAGAAGAGCATCCAGTCAGCTACAGTAACAATACTGTCAATGCAGCAAGTACTGGTTCATTAGCCAGTACAGTCAGTCTAAGCTGTGGAGACACTGGTATTCCTGTCTTCTTAAAGATCCTATTTAATTGATAATGGTACTTGTATTGTGTTTTTATCATTAACTATTTTTATTTTATTTTTATGTATGTATTTATTGGACCATGAGTCCGGAATAAAGTTTATCTATCTATCTATTAGCATTAATGTTAAGCTTCTCAGCAGATGGGAGCTCTAAAATGTCCCATTAGGCAGCTGCACTGGCTTTGGACTTCTGGAAACACGGCGGACCAATGCCAGCAAACTCAAGTTTCCAAAGGGTGGAAACTAAACTGGACTTTAAGCAGCATAGATTCTGTGTTTTTCCAATCTTCCACCACATTGGAACGCTCGAGTTTCCATTTAAATGCCTACTTTATTCTCATCTAAAAAGATGATTTTGGACCTTTGAGCCAGAGTCTAGTATCTGACCTTAACTCTGGTTCAGGTGCGGCTTAGGACACAGAAAGTTAGAGCTGGACTCTTCGATGGGATTTTCTTCAATCTTTTCAATGTTTCAGTTAGCCCTGCTACTATTGATTTTCATCTTATATTCCAGTTTTCTCAGACGTTATACAACACAATTATCTTAATAAACTGCACAGATGTGCATGATTATAAATACTATTACAAGGATATGTATGGATTTTATAAGATGTTGCCCTGGTAACCTGTGGTTTGGACCAACCAGAAGGGGTTCCTCTGTAACAGTTTTTCTCCTTTTAAAGGCTTGATCAGATGAATGTGTGAACCACAATAGACCAAACAAAACCCCTTTATGACAACAAATCCTCTTAAATGAAAGATGATTTAATGACAAAAGAGTGGGCAATGATTCTACTTTAACAAGACAACACTACAGATGTAACAGGTAATTTCCAACAGAATATACAAAGATTTTTTTCTGCATGTTTAAAATGATCAATCAATTTCCCGTTCCTGTTTGTGCGTTTCAGCTTCTCTTGAGATCAATTCTCAAATTTTAGTTTGTTTTTTTCAGTATAAAATCCATTCAAGGTATGTGTCCACATGTGGGACGTGTATTATTTTAATACCCATGTAGGATCTTTCTTGATAGTGTGATTCTCTGGACCCAGGATAGCAACTCCACATGTGCTCTGACCAACACTGAGGTGCCTGCAGGAAAACAAAAACAAAGTTTTTAGCTAATTTAAAGAGCTTTTCAAAGGCCCATTAGGAAATAAATAAATAAAAGTCATCTTGAACTGTTCTACCTTTCAGCCACATCCACCAGGCTTTTATGATCCACAGCAAAGAGTCTTTCTCTGTAACTCTGCTTCATTTCATCTGTGATCCCACTGAGAAAACGACTCGCTCCTGCTCAGAAATAAGACCAGAGTCAGTTTTTATGTCAGCAAGCAGATTTCACAAAAAAAAAAACATAAAAAAAAATACTAGAGGGTTATAAAAACATCTGAAAGGGAGCCAGATAGCTTCCATTACAGTGTAGTATATCCACCTTTGTCTGCAGGGGCCACAGGTGAATCCACAGCTGAGAACACAGAAAGCTTAGCTTCATCAATGTCCTGCTGAGAGAACTGTCCAGATTTTGCCCAGTCGACACCTTTTCGAAAAGCAGATAATGTCTGCACAGAGTTTGGATCCCTTAGGCACAAAAGAGATAAACTTTGGTCAAAATTTGAAATGATTCATTCAAAAACAGTTCAAATAGAAAACAACTGGATTAAAATTCTCCAGTTTAAGAAGTGTTAGGGCATCTAGTCCCAAAGTAAGTCAATAAATGTTCATGTTAAAGTGCTTAAACATATATAAGCATTACTTAACAGTTGACAAAACAAACTGCATTGGTTGTTGATGCCTTTTTTATATCATTACTCATTATCATTACTGTTAACTGATTTGTAGAAGAGTTTGTGTTCTCATTCAATAGTTTGGGTCATGAGTCGGGTCTTATGGGACTTAGTGGATCAGAACTGAAAGGTTTAGGAACCTCTGGATTAGGGTAACATGTACGCTTCCTCCAAAGAGCTTTCTCACTTTAGAGCTAGTAAAGGAGAGGTTCAAAGCTTAAAGCTGCTTGGGAAGAGCCCCGCTTCAGATTGGAATTTAAGACCTTCTTAACCAATCAGGCATTGTTGCGGCCATGTTGGCCGCAACATGGCAGCAACAAAATATTTTATCTTTCCAGCAGGAAGGGGTAAATTGGCTTGAAACTAACTGGGCTGCTCTTTCAAAGCATCTTAAATTAAGAATTTAAGCAAATTCTATTAACATATCTATAAATCTGTTGTGGAGAGTGTGATCTATTTTGCCAACATCTATTAAAGAAACAGGATCTGGATATCACTGATATGGAAGACTGATTATATTCTGGGAATATCAGTAGAAACTTTGGACATTACTTTAAAAAGAGGAATTCTTCAATAAATGAGGAAAATTACAGACAAGCCTGATCATCCTCTTCAGAATATCAAACGGCAGCAGTGTCTTTAGTCAGAGGCTTTTCCAAATCAGCTGTAAGGCAGACCCCTACTGGAGATACTTTCTGCCGACTGCCATTAACATCTACAACAGCTTAATGAAGAAACTCCTTTAATGTCAGCTCTGTTTTTTAAGGTCATGAAGTGTCAAAGACATTTGACCTACATTGCCCACTGACGGTGGTCAGAAACCCCGATGTCGCCTGTGTACAGCAGCCTCACTTCTGTCAGTGAGGCCCAGCTGAGTCTATGATGTAGCTTACCATCATCAGTGTGTGTGTTTGTGTGTGAATGACAGAATGTGTTGTAATACACTTTGGAGTCGCCACAAAAAAAAAAAAAAAATTGCTATACAAGTACAGGCCACTTAACATTTAAGTGTTCATTTTTAATTGAAATTTATCGATTGAATTAAATCTTTACTGAGGATTCTCTTCAGACTAAGAGCAAAAAAGTTTTTTTTTTTTTTTTTTTACTTTTTTGAGTCAACCATGTCCTGGATCTGGATGACCTTTACCCGCAGGTTTAAATCAGTTAGCAGCATAGTTGCTAGACAGGAAACATGAGAAGAAATAAAGGGGGGAAGGCATGCAGCAAAGGTCTCAGAAACATGGCTGCGTCAGAACAAAGTTTGAACGCTGACAAGAAAATTTGAGTTCAACTTTAACATAGCTAAAGCAAAGATAAGACAGGTAAAACCCGTTTACATCCAATGTTTGGTCTTTTTTAAACACAAACAAATTACAGTTTACTCTCAACTGGTGAATATCTTCCTAAAGTCTTTAAATGGAAATGCATAAGCTGAATAATACTTGTAAATGTAACACATTTACACACGGCCTACACCATCTCTGATCTGATAGATGTTTAATCTCCTGTATGCAGCGAACAGATTTCCATATGAACTAAGATGTTAGAAGAGATACGCTGAAAGCAGCGAGTTTGGCAAAGATAGAAAATAGAGGGATGTGAGATACATTCAGTTTTTCATTATTCAGATCTATGATACTAAATTCATTCAAACCAAGCCAATACAACAACTGTTCATGTTCTTATTATGGTCTGAGGGTCATCATCATCTTTGAGTTAGAATCAAGTCGTCTAAAGTTTTTTTTTTTTTTTTTTTAGCTTTAAGCTGTATATAATCAAATTAACATTTGAATTGTGAAAATGTGTACAGTAAATATATTAGTTTCACTTTTGTATTGAATAAGTAAAGTTTTCCTTTTGATGATAATGTAATTTATTAAGATATATCTGAAGGTTCTGATCTATCAATCAGAAAAATATTTCTACAAGTTAAAATTCAAAGTTTAAGTGTATAAGAAACTACCATGAGCAGAGAGGGATTTCATTGTTAGAGTGTAATAATTAACCCTTATCATAATAAAAGTATAGGCTTGAGGCTGTCCGAACCTGAGATTTTTTGTGAATTTCTCTCACCTGTAAGAGTAAAAGGAAAACACGCCACTTCCTCCCATTCTGGCTCCGCCTCCATAGGCTCCACCCTTCTCCCGAATTTCTCCGTGGAGAAATTTTGCCGTCATCATTCTTGCCAAGATGCTCAAACTGACTCAGATTGAGGAAGGTAACCAGAAAAGGCGAAGAGAGCATGAACAATGAGGAAACGTAACTTTTAAACGTAAAACCATGAAAAGAAAGTGACTCCCATTAAATTACATTACACATAGCACAGAGTGCACAGTGTATTTCAATGTAAAAAATCTAATAAGTCTCAGTCATAATCATTTATAAATTGACTTTTTCTACTTGTAATATTCACCTGGCAAAATCCTGGTGGCAGAATGGGACGGTGCGAATACTCTCACTGACAAAATTAACAGGGAAGGGCATCTGGAAGAACGTCTTCATCTGACATGGTTGGAAGTGTGGCTCCTGTTGAGACATAAAAAGTGGTTAAACTCTCCCAAATGTAGAAAAGGAGATTGGTTTTGCATGCAGTTATAATGCTGGCTTAATCATTTGTTCATATCTATCAAGGATAGGCTACGTGGCTTATAAGCAAAAACTCAGATTTTTCCATACCATTAATATTTTTTTTTTGTGCTTTTGAATCATTAAAACAAACTATAAATGATGTATTACTTTAATAACTACTTAACCTCCTAAACCTGAAGGTCTATTTTCCAAGAAAGGTATACTCAAACTTTATAAGGCCTTTCTCAACTGGCATACAGCCTAAACTACCAATATTGTTAGCAACTGACATAAAAGGTCCAGGAGGATGAAGTGGTAGTGAGAATTTGAGAGTAAATTATTCCGGGCTTGAGTAGCACATTTAAATGGCCAAAAAATAACCTAATGTAAAATGAAAAAAACAAAACAAGAAAACCCAGACGTTTAAATACAAACCTTCTTACTTTTTCTGTAATGACGTAAATAAACATAATCAATCTCAAATTCAATATCATGGTTACATATGTATTAAGTTCGGTGTTCATCAAACAATAATTGCCTATAATAAAAACACCTCCTACAATTGCTGCCAATCCTTCTAAGGAGATAAAGAGGCTTCCTAATGTTTTGAAAAAAAAAAACTAACACCAATTTTCTTCTAGATTTCTTTTTTGATTTGTATGTAAGTTTTAAGATAAAAAAAAAAATCCTTGATTCAGATGAAATCATCTTTAACAATGCATGCAAGAAAAAGGTTTTATGTTTTTGTATACATTCTGTCCTCAGACACAGTAGGAAGGACGGTAGGGAGGTAAAAGTTATCTCTGAAGCCATTAAGAACAGATGTAACTTCTCGTCAGAAGTTATTTATGTGTCCAAACTACGGCTGCAACTAACGATTATTTCGCAAATCGATTAACCATGTGAAACTCATATTTTCCACTTCTATTCTGGATGGAACATATTAACAGATGAAAAAGTTTTTATTTTTTTTTTTATCTTAAATGCAAAATGTTTATATATTTTTTTACAATCTAGGTATAATTACTGCTCTAAGTGGGTTTCTCTGTCAGCTACAGGCATGTTTTACAGTCTCTATACTCCAAATACTGTTTAATCAATTACTTAATTAGTTGTCAATTATTTCAACAATAGACTAATCATGATTAATCCAATTGTTTCAGCCATAATCCAAACTTGGTTTGTTTATTAACGTTGAACTTACTGTTATCAGTTTTCTACTTGGACCAGAATCTTGCAGAGGGTCAAGAGGTTTCTGGAGAGAAAAACAAAATACAACAAAGCAAGTAAATGATGAGGATTTCCTATTAGGGCAGCATAGCAGCATATCAGGTGCATCTTACCTTAATAATATTTGTTCTAACAGTCTTGCGTTCTTTTCTGTTTTCAGCCACATCTTTAATAAAACTCTCCAACTGTGTTGCTGAATCTGATATTTTCTGCGGTGTAGCATTGATGGAACACCTGTTAGAATGGACGAAGCAGAAAACGACGGATTCACTTTCTGTGGCAAAATAAAACAATCACAGAAACGAAAAAAAAACAAAAAACTAAACTATAAGGATTCAAAGAACCCTTATTGGAAACCTGCTATGATTGCTCCCACCTCATGTTCTCTGGGTTCAGAAGGTGTTTTTTGATCCTGGGTAATGTTCGGATGACTTGACTGAGATCGGGCATCTCAGCTATCCTCTTCATAAACTTCACCTAGTTTTCAAATAATAAATAAATCTGTATCAGTTAACAGAGATTAACTGTTTGACAAAACAAACTATTACATATCTAAGTTAATGCAGCCAAATGCGGATGTAGAAAGAAGCACACTGTTTACATTTATTTCTCCCTGTGATCAAAACACCCAGCAAGACTACCTGTTCCATCCCACCAAAGGTCTCCTGGAGTTCTCCAGCTGGAGTCAGGTGTCGGCTTGCTCTGGTCATGGCGTACATGTGACCAGAGTAGGATATGCCATTTGCTAACTCCTGCGCTGCCATCATCACCAGCACCCTAAGGCGTTCTTCATTGTCAAGATGAGGGCTGAAACAGAGACACCACATGCATTCTGTACTGTTAGGCAGAGGTGATAACTATAAATCACTTAATGTCCACTCATCATTAGTAAGGAAAGTTTATAGGAAAAAAATCCTCTTTGATTACGATCAATCAGAGAACAGAATGGAAAAAAAAAAAGAATGATAACACAACGGAGAAGGCCGGAAAAAAAATGCCACAATCTGTAATCACGTCTATTGCGAAACCACTTTCTTGTATGCCGTCAAATAATTTCTCTTAACTTTAGGTGCCGATGTTGCTTCTCTGAACTGTTCATGTAAAAATGGTAAACTTCAATGTCAAAGCGACTCGTAGTCCAGAAAATACGGTAATACTGCTAAAGCTTTACCCTGAAAATCTGCCATTTTGAAGGTTACTTAACCATATGTCCAGACTTAACCTAAGCCATTGATATTTGTAATTCATTCTTGAATTCTACACTATATCCATCTATCAAACGGGAAGAACGTTAAGTACAATTCTTCAAGCTGATTTGGTACCTGCCAGCCTTGTTGTGTTTTAATTCAATCACAGCAGCATTTGCGGCTGAGACGAATCATATTCTCGATCTGTTTCACAGAGTTAACTGATGACAAACTCAAAATCCAGTCGTGAGGAACAGGCAACCAAAGTTCCCATTCACAAAGATAAAAATAGCTTCCTTTGCTTGTTTATCAAAAAGAAATAGAGGGTATTTCAGCTTAAACTGGCATAGCTACGTCTGTTTTGCTTCAGCCTCTAGTTGACGTGTTGACGTCACTGCATTCTGTTGGTCCAAAATACTCCTTTATTGGGCTGAACCCATCTCTCAGCTTCTAGCAAGACGTATTTTCACGAGTTTGTGAATTCACAAATCCCACGACAATTCATATTGCTTGAAAAGTAAATTCAAACCATCACTGCAGAAAAAAAGTTAAAGTTCTTTCACATCTGACCAAAAACTTTTTTTCGTCAAAGGTTGTTTCAGATGGATTATGGAAGGCAAAACTAATCATCCTCACATGGACAATATAATATAAAAAGAAAATTAGAAGTCATTATGTCAAGATAATTATTTTTCTTCTAACACCAACTTAAAAAGCACATATAACACACAGGCATACATTAAAAACACTGCTACAAAAAGAAAAAGCAGCAGGGCCCTTAGAGGACACTTCAAAATGTTAAAACAAGACCATTTGTGCAGTGAATGTGGTATTAGTGTTTCAGCACAAGTGCAGCTCCTGCTAAAACAGTCTACGATGTGAACTACAGGGTTTTTACATTCAAATACTATAAAATCATTTTAAACGATCTGATAAGAAATGCTGTCAAATATCCAGGCAAAATTATGCAAACAGAAGCGAGCAGGAGGGGTGTTTAGATCTTGAAGTACTGCATGATATAAGAGTTGTAGTTTACCTGTTAAATATATCGCCCCAAAGCTGAAACATATGAGGTAGGTTTCTTTCCAGGCAAGAAGAGAACAAAAGGACCCCCTAAAGTTTGAAGAACAAAAAAAAACAAAAACAAATAAATCCCATTTGCTGGTGAAGATTATCAGTCATCCAGGTCAGTCATTCCAAAAAAGTAAAAAAAAAAACAATCCACTGGACTTTGTTTCCAAGTTTAAAGACGTTTCGCTTCCCATCCTGGAAGCTTTTTCAATTCAAAATATCAGAAATAGCTTTGAGTTTGAGGTTTTATAGAGTAGCCCAACAAAACCTTGTTTTAGCTTAGACAACATGCAATTTGAAACTGATGAACGGGTTCTCCCCTTTAGAATGGGGCGGACCCATTTGGAAATGGCAACAACCCCCATCCAAAAGGGGTTGACCCATTCATCCGGTTCAATTTCTATGTTTTCTAAGGTAAAACAAGGCTTTTTTGGGCTTACTCTATAAAACCTCAAACTCAACGCTATTTCTGATATTTTGAAATGAAAAAGCTTCCTGGATGGGAAGCGAAACCTCTTCAAACTTGGAAACAAGAGTCCAGTGGATTGTTTTTTTTTTACTTTTTTGGAATAAATCTCATTTGAAGCTATAGAACACCTGTTAGTTAACACCTTTCACATTTCAAATTGCGTTTTACCATTTTTTAGTTCTATTTCAACAATAGATTCTTCCATTCACTCATTTCTGTGTTGATAACTGTTTAAAGGTGGAGCTTAGGTTTATTTCCCCGTTCAAATGTAAAAAGATAAAGAACAAATGTGCGTGTTGTCCTCAGTGTTTGCACTGACCTGTTCAAATGTGTCCATCTGGTTGGAGTCAGGAATGACCTGAGTGGAAACAGACATCCCCCCTGTCCTCAGTTCCATCTGCTGGGCCTGTTGCCTGTAATCCAGAGCTCCACAGCCCATCCTAATAAAATAAATTAAAAATAAAAAAAAAAGGGGGAAAATACATTTTTAGCATTTTTATAAACTTGGATTGGAAAATAAACATCTACATCAAGTCTTACTCATACTTTCCCAGCAAACCTGAGATCAAACATGCAGGCCAAAAAGCTTCATAAATTTTTTTAAAAATATTTATTTAAAAATATTCATTAAATGGCTATTATCCAGTTAGAATTTAGCTATAACAAAACACAAATGATTTTTGGGGGGTTATGTGTCAATATTCCTTTGAAAAAAAAAGCTTGGATCCACTTACAAATAATTTATGAATCTTGAGTGAAAAAGTCTGTCAGAATCAAGTGTTGCGATCTACATCAGACAGATCTACCTTTGAAAAATATCAACCAAGCCATAAAAAAGAAAATGCTGCAGCAAAATAGATTTAGCTTTTGTTACAAGGAAATTCAATACAAGTAAAATATTTTTTAATAATACAAATATTGAAACCTTCTGAACAGACTGTTGTGTTTGAGTCACATTATAAGTTCTTCCATGCTTCCTTCCCATCCTCCAAGCCTGCAATGGTTTGGAAGCCTAATCCAGCTCCTTTCAGCTAGCCTGATAAACCAGACTAAATGTAAGATTAAATGTGTAATTTAGTCCG